TTATGCCTTTGAAGGGAATGGCCGTCACTTTAGCCTCTGCCGCAGAGTCCCCATCCCACTTCTGAGCCACATGTTCCTTCTGGCTGCTACACTGCATGCCATGGTTCTAGCTGACTTCTGCAGGATGTCCAGTGAAGTATCTGCCACAATCACTGTTGCTAGGACAATCTTCTTAAGCTTCTCTTTAAGTTCTTTTGGGACTCCATGTCAGCTCTGCTGCCATGGGGGTAGGGAGGTTGGTTGTCTTCTAATTGCCTTTGCATTCCTTCTGTGCTTCTTTGCTGCTACAACGCTTATCTCTAAGTATTGCAGGTGGGGATGTTAATGTCTGGTTTTCTTGGGAACCATGAGAGAGTGTTTTGTTCCCAGCTTCAGCGCTAAACGGCCGAAGCTCTTTCTCCTGCGCGTGGGAGAGTGGCTCATTGGCCAGGGCAGTTGGGGGGGGGGTGCATACGAATACCCTATATCCTATTATGCCCCATGGGCAGCCGTCATTCTTAACAGTGCCTATGTTAATGCATCTATAGCTCTTCAATAAAGTATTACCTTTCCTGATAAGCGTGTACTACGTTGTTGGCTGTGGGTTCTGACACTCCACTATCAGCTGAGGGTAGTCCTGATGCTCAAGAATGTGCCACCCTGGTAAACATCGAGCCTGCTGTTGACATCCTGATGGAGCAGGCTGAGACTCTGAAGTCTTTGTGTAAGGCTTGCTCAAATCCCCTTCACTGGGGTCTTGGGCAGCCTATCTGCATCCACAGGTAGGACTGAGTTGGAGGTCAAGCTAGCCCCGGGTTCGTCCACCATTGGCGCCTTAAGTCTCTTGGTAGCCTCTGGTATCAGGCAGTAAAGCTTGGGGGGAAACACCTGATGGTTAGCTTTTAGCTTGGAAGGGTGTTCCCACTCTGCCTCCATCCTACTATAACAGACTGCGAGCATTGCCTGCCTCAGCGTAGCAACCCTGGACTTCCTTGGTGGTCTCCCATCCAAGTACTAACCAAGACTGACCCTGCTTAGCTACTGGCTTATCTGACAAGTTTGGTTGAGCCTGGGCCATCCAGGTCAGGGCTGGCATCCCTGCTTATGGTACTGCCAGTTTGTACATCATTTGGTCAGATTCCACCGGAAGTTCTGGATCAAGATCAATGTTCCTCTTAGGTCTGGAGGAAATTCTAAGGTTCTAAGTACTTGGAAAGTAATCTCATGCACAGCTCTTGAAGGAATAGCCTAGACTGTACGGTTGATAATACTTCCTTCCCCTCCTCTGACCATTCCCAGACTTCCCTATCTGAGGATGGAACTGGGGAGTCTGAGTCCTTCCTGGACACTGTAGAGTGCACTGTGTTCCTTTAAGGAAGACTTCTCCCTATTTTCCTTATTTTGGTTGGGGGAAATCTATAAGTGCTCAGATCTCGCCCCCTTGCCATATGAGACCTTTTTATCCATCTACTTCTATTTTAAAAAATTTTTGCAGCCATCAAGTTGCAGCCCACTTATGGTGATCCCTTGGGGTTTTCAAAGCAGGAGATGTCCAGAGGTGGTTTGTCTTGCCTGCCTCTGTGTCATGACTCTGGTGTTGTTTGGTAGTCTCCCATTCAAATACTGACCAGGGCCAACCATGCTTAGCTTCCAAGATCTGATGAGATCAGGCTATCCTGGGCTATCCTTGCTGCCTCTGTTTCCTGGTTCACCATAGAGTCTTGAGAGAGCTATGAGGCTTCTGATCTGAGTATATCTGACTCGCTAAGCGTACTTCCCCCCCCAAAAAAAAAATCTGCCATAGCCCTTCTCTGGCAAATAGTGGAAGCAGTGGAAGTGCTGTCAAGCAGCAGCCCTGTATGGTTTTCAAGGCAAGGGATGGTCAGAGGTGGAGAACCAACCAGGGCTGACCCTGCTCAACTTCCAAGATCCAATCAAACCGGGCTGATGCCATGGCCTTCCTCAGCCTAGCAACCCTGGACTTCCTTGGTGGTCTCCCATCCAAGTACTAACCAGGGCTGACTCTGCTTAGCCCCCGTGATCTCAACAGATCAAGTTCGCTTGGGCTATCCAGGTCTGGGCACAGGGAACTGGCAGGTATGACCTGGCAGCCATTTCCTGTTTGCTTGCCTGGGAGTGAAAGCGAAAGTAAGTCTGCCATGAGGGTCCAGGGAACCAAGATGGCCACGGCCATTTCCCCCACTCTTCTATGGCCTTCCCTGGGCCTTTTAGCTCCCTGTCTGTTTCATGGGAACTTCCCCCCTGAAGAGGAAGACGAGTGCAGGTGGGGGGGCCCTTTTTAATCCGTTCCAACCTGTTGGGGAGGTTGGATGCCCCAGGAATATTTCCTCTTCTTCCTCCCTGGATAGCTCAGGGGTTTGCTTGGTGTCGTCCCCCCCCAGTCTACCACCCTGCCCTCCTTTGCCTCCAGTCTAAGTTGTTTTGCTCCATAGGGGCTTACCATGATTGAGGGCTAGAGGCGCCTGGCTTGTCCGTTCCTCCGCATGCCAGGTCCTCCAAGACTGGGGAGATTGTAGGGTCTGCAGCATTACCCCAGTCTCCTTGCAGACTCAGCCGCTTCCCCTGATCTACTTTGGTTGGGGAGGGGACCTCCAGCCGCAGGCTGGGTCCGGCAGGCGTCTGGGTACACAGCTGCGGCTACTGGGGATCTCACAGCGCTGTCGGCTGCCTTTGTGGTCTGCCGCTGACCATGCCTCGAAAATAACAAAAAGGGAGGGTCTGTCCCTTCTCCCTCTCTTCTTCTCATTCCTGGATTGCTGCACTCTACAGAGCACCTCTGAAGCACGTCCTGTCCAAGCAGCAGGGCTGGTGAGACTGGGATAGTCTCAGGGGACAGGGCCCTCCCCTTCCTGGATCGATCTGAGGAAACCGGCCCTGTTCTGGAGGAGGAGCCTTTTCCCAAGAGTGAGGAGTGCCCCACTCCCAGGACCACCAGAGAACAGCATCTTGAATTGCGTCTGGGAACATATCGGCAACCAATGAACTTATTGAAACATGGGTGTTGCATGTTCTTTCCCACCCACTCCAAACATGTACACATTGTTCTGAACTGGAGTTCATTTTTTTTAATGGCACACAGGGATGATAGCTAGAGACTGGGGGGAAAGGTGCCTCCTCGGGAATCTGTTGCTCAAAGTGGGCTGTTTCTCATCATTTCATGGTAAGATCTGCTTGAGCAACCAGCTAGTAAATGAATAATCCAACAGCACAAGATACTGGGGCTCTGACACTTTCCCAGTGCCCCACTGACTGGCCTGCAAAAGACAATAAGGCTAAGGACAGATTTGTCCTTTCTTTCAAACAGTTCTGATTTGCTTAGCAGCTCTTGATTCATGGGGATATAGAGCTTAGCAGCTCTTGATTCATGGGGATATGTATGGAAATAAATATACATGGAAAAACAAATACATATTTGGGGGCGGGAGAGGGCTCTCTGAGAGTCTTGCTATCTGCTCCTGTGGGACACGGGAGAAACATTCCAAAAGCACGTGCCTCTATCAAAACACACACTGACACACCACAGCAGTTATCATGGGAGGCCTCCAGCACCACCTAGTGAAACAGACAGGGGATGCATTCCAGGCCATATCTTTTAACCTGCATCTAAAAAAAATGAGAGAATGCAACCTGCCAAATCTGAATGTGTACCCAAGCTAATATCTCATAGCAGCCTGTCTGGTACTTTTGTCCACCTTTCTCTGTATCTCCTCTTCTCCAACTACTGCAAACCAGGGGTCATTTCGTAGAAAAAGAGGTGCAGGAGCTCATTAGCATAACTTATTTGCGTATGCCACACCCACTGACATCACCAGAAGTGTGTCAGAAGGCAACCCCCACCACTCAGGCTCCACTGGACAGTTTTGGATTGCTAGCTATCGGGGGGGGGACGTGCAGATCTGTCCCTCGCAGAGGAGGGAGAGCTTGTATCTGAATAAAACTTGGTCTTAAGGATGTCACTGGACTGTTTTGGATTGTGGGCCGGGGGGGAAGGCTCTGCAACTTACCTGGCTGCTTCTTGCTCTGACTGAGGGCTGCTGGGAGCAGGGGGTGGGGCTTGTTGCATGTGCCCGCCCCCTGGGCTCTTTACTGCCGGAGCTCCGCTTCTCTGCGCTCCTGCAGGAAATGACCCCTGCTGCCAGCTCCCTATTTTTATAAGGCCAGCTGTAAATCTGATGTTGGGAGAAAAAAGTAACCTTGTTTTCTGTACATTTTTAGCTCCACTTTGGATGGCCCAGTTGGGCCATGAGGATGTTGGCCAAAATGCTGGATGGAAAACAAGGGAGTGATGGACAATTACTACTTCTTTAAGATACCCGCTCCCATAAGCAACAGATACTAATACAGATTCCGTGTGTACCCACACATTTCTATAACCCCGTGGGTGTAGACACAGAGAAATGCTTCTGCTCCAGCTAGAATTCATAGTTCTGGCCCACATTCTGGTTGGGTCACCACTTCATCCCTAAACAGGGCATCTCTGTGACCAGTCACTAACATCCAAGCAAACTAAGGAACATTCTTCGTCCACTATAGTAAAGGTAAAGGTTCCCTTGCTCGAAAGCCAGTCGAGTCCGACTCTAGGGTTGCGGTGCTCATCTCCGTTTCAAAGCTGAAGAGCCAGCGCTGTCTGAAGACTTTTCCATGGTCATGTGGCCGGCATGACTAGATGCCAAGGCGCACGGAACGCTGTTACCTTCCCACTGAAGTGGTACCTATTTATCTACTTGCAATTTCTTGCTTTCGAACTGCTAGGGTGGCAGGAGCTGGAAGCAAAGACGGGAGCTCACTCCATCATGCAGCACACTCGGGTCTCAAACTGCTGAACTACTGACCTTCCACAGCCTGCAGTTCAGTGTCTTAACCACTTGAGCTACCGCAGCTCCACTATACAAAGGCATTATTTCCTTAAATGTGTATTGACTAAATGGATACATCAAACACTTCATACACATGTCAGGTGAGAGCATCAAAAGAGGAGGTAGATGCCCGGCGAGACTAACCTCTTCTGTGATGGCTGCCCCACTGGAATAACTTTGTCTTCATAGAACCTTTTCATGGCAAACCTGTCAAGAGCTTGGTCCGCACTGTGCAATAAACAGAAGTGTTAGATGTGTCAACTGTCAAGAAAGAATTGGATTCCTTCTTTTTTGTAACGATTTATAACAAGACACTTCACTAAAATATTCATTCTGGACTTTTTCAAGCTTTTACCACCCCGCCCCCACACAGGATCCTATTTTTTTCAATAAAATGCCAAAATGTCTAGGCATCGCATCATTGAAGTAAATGTGAGAAACTGGGTCAACAGAACAACGCAAGTTCTAAAGTCTTCGGTGTCTCTTCACTTCATTGCTAGCATCCCTGGGGCATGAGTTGACATTGCATGTTCTCATCACTCCTTGTTGATCTTGTCTGTCTGTCTAGTTTCACTTTGGTTGCCTTCCTTCATCCCTGGAGAGACATTTCCTCAGGGCCTGTCACCCCACCCCCATGGGCCAGGCAGGGAGGCCTTTCTTAGTTGCCAAAGGGCTATGGGTAACCACTCTGTTGTACACACAGAGGAAATGATACAGAGAAATGATCCAACTCATCTGAGCTCAGATAGCATCACAGAAATGAATAGCAGCACTGTTATTTTGGATGCTGCATGCTGGAGAGTATGGATGCCTGTAATATAACGGGGGAGCTGGGCACCTGCTTCAGAATGTTGCACTCCAAAGCCATGCGTTTTCCATACTGTGGGACCAAAATAAGCATGCTAAGTCTTCAGACCATCCATGAAGCTCCATTACCAATCTCAGCCCCCATTACTGCCACCATCACAAGAAACTGAGTCAGACCATTGGTCTATCAAGGTCAATATTGCCTACACTGTCTGTCAGCAACTCTCCAGGGTTTCAGGCAGAGGTCTTTCACAACACCTACTACGACCTAATCCTTTTAATTAGAGCTGCCACAAATTTAGCCTGGGACCTTCTGCCTGCAAAGCAGATGCTCTACCACTGAGCCATAGCCACTACTCATTATCAGACAAACACAGAGAGGCCCCCTCACCTGGCCGAAATATTGCTGTAATGCATGTATGCAGCGATAACAACTCCTGTCCGGCCTCTGTTCCCCTGAAGCAGACAAAAAGAAAGAAAGAGTTAAAGTCACTAAAGACGGGACCTTGTAGAAGAGAAAGCTGTCCCTCTTGACATGGGATAACTGGGTAAACCCTTAACAAGGAGTTGGCATGATGCTTCAAAATCCCATGGGACCCCTCCTCCCTCTTCTCACCTTATTGTGGAGGACCACAACGTTATGAGGATCAGCATTGAGCCACGTATCCATGGCTTTACAGACACTGCATATCTTCTCCAGAGCAGGTGTGTGCAGGTCAGGCCATCCAAAATCCAGCACCTGCAGCACAAGAAGAGATGGGGTTGCCAAGCAAGACGAAGAAGAAAAGGAGAATTTTAAAGAAGATGGTGAATACAGTTGCATGGAATAAGATGTTTTACAAAGGTGTAAAAAGCACACAAGTCAGGATGGCTGACCCTATCATATGGAAGGGTAACTTTGGCATCATATTTGGGTGTACCATTGCAAGATACCAAATAGTTGGCTATTTTTATGTTTGTACTACCTTTGATTTTTCTGCCTCAGGTACCAAAAAGTTTGGACCCTCTTTGCAAGTCATTGCAACACCCTGCTCAGTAACCTAAAACCCACATCTTCAAGTGAGGGCAGGTGATGCTATAGTGTCATCAAGGCTGAAGACTAGAAACCAAGAAAAAAGGTGTTCAACACATTTCAGTGCAAGAAAACTCTATGAGGTCTCTGCTACTAATCTGATGGACATTATCCCAGTCACAGCAATGATGTAGTGCATCAGCATGGGAAAAAAAATCCCAAAGTAATAAGGTAAGAAACAACGTCATGCTTGTCTCTTAAAATTCATGGCCCTCTGACAACACCAGAACAAAACAGCCGTACACATGCATTGACACAGAATGAGGGGGAGGGATCACAGAAACAAAATAACAGAACAAAATGCACTCTAAATTTCTTTTCATATTCTATCACATAAAGTCCAATTTAAGCATAAAACCTCCACTTAGAAGCCACTGACGAGTACTTCCCTGCAGTAATGTTCCAAGCAGAAAATGTATTGTTTAAAATTATCCTTACCACCTTTTCCCTCAATCCCTCATCCTGCACTTGTACACCAGCACTGCATATACCTGCTGGAAGAATCACTGGCAAAAAGACCCAGCATGTGATCAAGGAGCTGCATATCATGAGCAGCTTTTAAATGTTTTCCTTGAACATTTGGCAGCCTCCTCTGGGGACAGTAACAATTAAATAGGCCACAGTTGTTATAGGTTATAGGCCTTTCAATATTTAGCTAGCAAATATCTGTTCACCAGAACAGTTTTCTAGTGGGGTTGGAGGCACCAATAGATGGTGAAGACAGAGCAGTCATGGGCTCAGGAAGATGACTTTCAAGTCATTAAAAAGTTCCTGTTTGAAAACGTGCGCACACACCATTTTCAGTATCCTCTAGATAGGGGAAAGAATTTATCTACTTTATTGATTTATAATATTTACATCCCACTTTTCTTCAGATCAACAGGACTAATATGGAGAAAATACTATTGACAGAGCTAACCAAGTTGTTGTAATGACTGATGAAATAATGTACATAAAGAAGTTGGAATACCAAAAAAGTGTCATATAAGTGTTAAATTTTAAGACCCTACTTAAAATCCTTGGCTTTACTGGATTATACTAGGAATAAGGCCCGTTGTGGAAATAAATACAACGAGCTCTAGAAAGAGGCTCTGGGAGAGTGCCAAGGCCTTGGGCACTCAGTGTCAATTTGCTGTGGCGACCTCAGCAGGGTATGACAGCAAGTCCACCATTTTCTCCAGAGGAACTGATCTCTGCTACCTGAAGAACAGTTGTAATTTTGAGTGCACTCCAGCCCTCACCTGGAGATTGGCAACAATGGTTCCCCATGACAGAATAGCTGGTTTGGAGGGTGGAGTCTATGGCATTGTACCTGTCTGAGGTCCCACCCCTCCTGAAACCTCACCCTCTCCAGGCTCCATCCATCAAATCTCCAGGAATTTCCCAACTGGAGTTGGCGGCCCTATCTCCTTCCCAGCCAATCATCAACCTACCTTTATTTCCCACTCACTCTTCAGCTTTCCACTCCCCCTCACCTGCAGCCTCTACCGTGCTCTGAAGCCCTGACTGCTACGTCACATTGGCTGTCATACAGGGGCCATCTCAGCAGGATATAAGGACACAGAGTACACCATTTTCTCCAGGGGAACTGATCTCTGCCATCTGGAATGCAGTTGTAATTCTTTTTTTTTAAAGACTTTATTTATATATTTTTTGAAAATATAACATTTAACACAAACAAACTGTAAACTGCATGAGTGGATGTCTAACAGTATAGAAGTGACAATCTATACAGTAACTGAGAAACAAACACAATTTTAGATAGTTCAAAAGAATAAGAGTTTCTGGTAATGACGATTATTAGGAAAAGTCTCCCTCAGATAGGTATGCGATCATTGGAAACCAAATTGATTGGAATTTATGTAAACTACTGCCCGAGGTGAGTGCC